CAACTGATTTGCTTTTCATCTTCCCCCTGATGGGCAGCTTCAAAGCCTACAGTTGCCCTCTGGTAAGGAGAGACATTCTGCCCTTGTGTGATTGGTAGTCTGAGCCATTTGCTCTTCACATTCCACAAGGCAAGCACCTCAGAAGAACCTCCTCTTCTATGAGAGGGGTGAAAACTGAGGCTCAGCGAAACTTACCTGGGACATAGAACTGTGACGGGTGCTTCATTGCAGAAGGAAGAAGGGTCTGCTCTGGTGTTGTAGGTTATTATTCCCTTTGAATCTGAGAAGGAAAAACAATCATTGTCACTATATGAAAAGACGAGGTCCTCATGATATTCTTTAGGATCTGATAAAATTCTGTGATTATTATTTGCCTCCTAGTGACTTTCTTCCATAGGCCAGATATGGTCTTGAAACTTTAAAAAGTTTCTCCTCTAGGAGTGTAATACTATAGATCAGTAGTCCTCTGTCTTCCCTATTCTGTTGTATTTCAAAGTTTTATTTGAACTCAATTATTTTTTATTTTGTTCATTGAATAGAGAAATAATTATAGTCTACTTAATCAGCTTTCTGGAAGAGTTGGTCTTCACTGCCTGTTAGGAGACTAGGGTTTTTCTTTTTTAATTAAAACCTAGGATATCGTGTAGATTATATGATATATGATAGTTGTATTTATTTTGCTCATGTTTGATTTCTTTCCCCACATCTGATCAGTTCATGTCTTCTGTACTGAAAGCATTTGAAGGTCGGGCTCAGTGGCTCATGCTTCTTATCCCAGCACTTTGGGAGACCGAAGTGGGAGGATCGCATAAGCCCAGGAATTCAAAACGAGCCTGGGCAACATAGGAAGTCCCAGTCTCTACACAGAATTAAAAAATAAGCAGGGCATGGTGGTGCATGCCTGTAGTCCCTGTTACTTGGGAGGCTGAGGCAGGAGGATCACTTGAGCCTCAAGGCTGCAATGAGCCCTGATTGTGCCACTGCACTTGAAACTGAGTGACAGTGGCTGGGCACGGTAGCTCATGCCTGTAATCCTAGCACTTTGGGAGGCCAAGGTGGGTGGATCACCTGAGGTCAGGAGTTCAAGACCATCCTGGCCATCATGGTGAAACCCTATCTTAAAAAAAAAAAAAAAAAAAAAAAAAAAAAAAAAAAGAAACTGAGTGACAAAGCAAAACCCCCATCTCAAAAAAAATAAAGAAAAAAAGGAAAGCATTTTATGAGATAGCTAAGTTTGACTATAGTATAAAATGTCACCAGGCGTGGTGGCTCACGCCTGTAATCCAAGCACTTTGGAGGCCAAGGTGAGCAGGTCACCTGAGGTCAGGAGTTCAAGACCAGCCTGACCAACATGGTGAAACCCCATCTTTATTAAAAAAAAAAAATTAACAAAAAATATGTTGTTATTATTTGAGATGGAGTTTCACTCTTGCTGCCCAGGCTGGAGTACAATGGAGAAATCTCGGCTCACTGCAACCTCCGCCTCCCCCGTGCAAACGATTCTCCTGCCATGGCCTCCCGAGTAGCTGGGATTACAGGCGTCTGCCACTATGCCCGGCTAATTTTTGTATTTCTAGCAGAGACAAGGTTTCACCAGTTGGCCAGGCTGGTCGCCTACCTCAGCCTCCTAAAGTGCTGGGATTACAGGTGTGAGCCACCATGCCTGGCCAGAAATATACTATTGAAGATTAAGTACTATAATGGTTATAAACACTGAGCAGGGCCTTAGCAAAATAGGTAGCCACCACTATTATGTGGCTTAGGGAAATGAAAATAGCTCAGTGGAGCTAGAGTATAGGGTAGTATAGGGTAATTTAAACAAAAGATAGAATACATTTAAGCTTGGTATGTCTACAAAATCAGATTAGAAGAAAACCAAGACCTTTAGTGATAGGAATTGCATGTAAGTTTAAAAAACCATTTACTCAATTACAACCAGCAAAGCAGGCGTGTTTCGAGGAGAATTTGGTCATTGTTTGCTTAATTGTCAGGAACAATATGAACTGCTCAGGAAGAATAATATGGGTATGAGCAGGAGGCGGGAGGACAGAACAACAGCTTTCTGAAGGAGGGTTTGTTTCTGTGTGTGTCAAGACAAAGCAGTAAATGGGAACGAGCCAGGGCCAGCAGTGATGAAGACTCGCTCTCCTGTCCCAGCTCGTTTCTGTCTGCTCTAAGGAAGACAGCAGAGCTTGGAACAACTTTGCAAGGACGAAAACCTGACCAGAAGCAGCAGGGGAACAATCCATGTGTGAGGTGGTACAAGGGCCAGTGGACCTATGATCAAGGATGGACGAAAATGGAATTCTTCAAGCAGAAGGCGGGTGGCAGGCAGGAAAAAGGTAGAGGGGCTGCTTTCAGTCCCCAGGGAAAGCTGTGATAGGGACAAGATGCTGCAGTTCCCTGTTCTGTCCTCTCTCCTCCCTAAAAGAAACAGAAAATGAAACCACCAGGAAGCACACTATTCAGCAGAAAGTGGTAAAACAATGTAATTGAGGGAGTTGTAGACTTTCTTCCTGAATAACTCTCAGTGTTAGCCCTCCCCTACCTTTTGTGGGTTCAAAATGATCTTGCTTGGAAACAGAGAGATTGCCCTGATGGCCCTGGATGGGTATGCAATTTAGTGATGTTGGTCTAAGATGCTAGAGGCTCACTTTCTTTCTTTTTCTTTTCTTTTTTTTTTTTTTGAGACGGAGTTTCGCGTTGTTACCCAGACTGGAGTGCAATGGCACGATCTCGGCTCACCGCAACCTCCACCTCCTGGGTTCAAGCAATTCTCCTGACTAGAGGCTCACTTTCTACAATGATGAACAGTTGAAAAGCAAAGTATCTAATAATAGGCTGGGTGTGGAGCGGGTGGATGTCTTTTCCATTCTTTCCTCTTCCAGCTCCTGAAGCCTGGGGGAATAAGCAAGAGGGATGCTAAGCTCCTGATTAGGTTTGTAACCCAGACACCACTGGTCCTGATGAATTAAAAGAACATTAAGGCCGTAGCCAGGGACACCACATTTTTCATTTAACCAAATTGATTGCAGCATTGACTCTCCTAATAGCCTAAGAAGACAGGCTGGCTTCCTCTGATGTGCTTAGGAGAAGTTGGGGCCGCAGATTGACACAGGGCTTTAATCAGAACAATAAGCAGCTAAGTCTGCTGTCATGGAAGAGTTGAAGCGCATCAGGCCAGTTCGCTAAGCTTGATTTTGTTCGAGGAGGCTGCAGCCCTCTCTCTGGTTGGAGTCCTGCAGATACTCATTGTCAGTATGGGGAGCAGGAAGGAGCGAATACAGTAGAGACAGCCCCTTTGGGGAAGCAACAAGTCCTGGAACACACCTGGCTAAGGGTGGGGGCGGTGGGTACCCTCTTTGAATGTGAAGGTCTCATTCCTAGTCCATTGTAACTTGGCTCCCCACTTTCTCCACTGCCCTTGTTAGGGCTACTCGACAGGAGAGCAGGAAGGACGTCTCTGCCTCAGGAGCTATGGGCACAGCTTCAGTGTCATTGAGGACTCCCCAGAGGTCTTCCCGGACGTCTTTAATAACATCCACTGAGGTGGCAACCACTTGCCGCCTTGCTCTGAGGCGAGCCAAACTGGGGATAGTCTCCAGCTGGGGATGGTTTGCCAGTAACACCTGGGATTATTGGCTCGGTGATCTTGAAAAGCGCCCTCCACTGCCTCTTGTCTCTCCCAAGCTGGAATCCCACTTGTTCTTTGCGTCTCTTCATAATACATTCATTCCACCTCTCACTCACTCAGCAAGTATGTACTGAAGACTGACCTCACGCCATGTACGGTTTTGTACCCAAAAGAGAGGCAGGATGCTACAGTGCTATTATAAAAGTTAACTCCAGGCCAGGTGCAGTGGCTCACAGCTGTAATCCCAGCACTTTGAGAGGCTGAGGCAGGTGGATCCCTTGAGGTCAGGAGTTCGAGACCAGCCTGGCCAAACAGCAAAACCCCATCTCTACTAAGAATACAAACATTAGCCGGGTATGGTGGTGCATGTCTGTAATCCCAGCTGCTCTGGAGGCTGAGGCAGGAGAATCGCTTGAACCCAGGGGGCAGAGGTTGCGGTGAGCCCAGAGCATGCCACTGCACACTGCACTCCAGCCTGGGCAAGGGAGTGAGACTCATCTCAACAAAACAAAACAAAAAGAAAGTTAACTCCAAAAGAGTTAAAGTGGATATTCAAATTGTGCTGTAAGGAAGTCCTGCTGCTGCCCTGGCAGCACCTGGGTAGGTTAGGAAGGCCTTCACTTTGCCCTTGCCACCCTTCTCTTTCTCCCAAGCTCTTCCGAAATGCCACCACTTACTGTCTGCAGCTCCTTGGCCCAACGCAGCATTCAGGGACTGTTTCCCCACCTGCAAACTGCCCAGCCATAATGCCCACCTTAAAGGGATGTCTCACACATTAAGCAAACTAACACGTGTGAATGCCCTGACTTTAATAACCAGTAGCGTCCTCCTTTCCTTCCCACCGCCTTCCAGCTCTTCTCTCCTCGCCACCCTGTTCTTCCTCTCCCCTCCGCCGCTCTATTTCCATAGGCCTCAGGCGCCATCTCTCAAGCATCCTCCTCTTTCCCACCCATCCTTTAGGCTCATAAGCCCCCATTATCCAGGTGGCCACTCTAGGTAGCGGTGACCTAAGTGGGAAGGGGAGGAGGGGAGGCTAGGGGCTCAGGGCTCCCAAAATGGCTATGGGGGCGGGGGGCTCCTGAGCCCAGTAATTTAATCTTGAGCTGCAGTGGGTTCGGGAAGTTGGGAAGAAGGTGGCTCGAAAGGAGACCGGCCCTCTGGGGTAGGGAGGCTGGAGCCTCTTTCCAGTCCGCCTTCCTGCCCGGGAAGCCGCCTCCTTGACCTTGAATAGGAGGCGGGGGCGCCGAGGGCCTGGGGGGCTGCGCAGAGAGGCCCGGTCCCGGGGGGCAGGCCCGCCCACGCCTCCTCCGGGCCTCCCCCGCCTTGGTTCCCGCCCTCCGCGCCGCGCGTCTCCTCCCCTCACTGCAGCGCTCGCCGCGCGCGCCCATCGATCAGGCCCCCTCCCTCCGCCGCCTCGGCGCAGACTGCTAAGCTCAGCAAGTCTTGCGGCAAAGGCACTTCGGAGCCGAGTTGGGGCAGCGGCGGAGCGGTGACTCCGCGCCCCAGAGGAACGGGCGCCCCTGCGAAGCCGTCGCCAGCGCCGCGTCCTTGCGGCCCGACGCCCTCTCACCTCGGGGACCCCGGGTCTCTCCTGCCTCCTTCGGGTCGCCCTCCGGTAAGTCCGCAGCCCCGCCGGTGGGGGGCACGGACCTCCCTCCAAAGTTTCTCCTCTCCTGCTGCTGCGTCGAGGGCCACCGGGTGGTCCGGCTCCCGGAAGGTGAGCGGGGCTGGGGAAGTTTGAGGCCAAGGGGCCGGGAGTCCGCACCGTCCTTTGGGGGAGTTTGGACGCGTCCAGATGGAGGGTTCCTCTGGGGGAGCCGGACCTGAGGGGCGGGGAGCTCCTCTGCGGGACTGGGACTGGGGGGGTGCGGATTTCCTTTCGCAGTCTCCCCGCGAGTTGCTGCAGAGAGGGGCGGGCCACGCGTCCCCCGCACCCGCCGGCTGTGCACCCCCACCCCTCTCTCCTGTCCCTGGGACGCCCCCACTCGCGTCTAGTCCAGCCCCCCGCCCGCCCCATTGGTCTCCAATGAAGGTTATTTTGCCCCAGTCTCAAGCTGCGGGACCCCTGGCACCGCCGTCGTGGGAGGTTGGGGTGAGGGGTGGTCTGGGCGCTGGGAGCCGGAGACCCTGGGTCAGGGAGAGATTGGGGAGACAGACCGCAGGGGCCATCTGGAGACGACGGGCACGAGGAGCTGGGGCCCGGGCCCGAGTGGGGGATGGAGGCGCCCCTCTCCTCTCTCCAAATCTCATGACTCAGCACGACCTAGGACGCCCCGTCCCTGCTTCAGCTCTGTCCCCAGGGCTGGGCTGGCAGCCTGGCGGGTGCTCACAGCCCGACTCCCCTTTCTAGACTCTTCCATGTAGCTTTCCCATTTGGGGTTCCCCCTTTCCCTGCCTATGTTCCTTTCCCCACCTCTGGGGCACAGAGCTTTTAATTTTCAACTAAAAAGAGGAGCTTTATCGCTTCCCATCTCACTAAGCCAGGCCCCCTCCGCCTGTCTCCTTCTTCCTTTTCATCTCCACATTCCACAGGTGCCTCCAGCGCACCCCTGGCCCCCAGCTCGTGTGGGGTCTCTCCTGGCAAGCGCAGCGTCCTCCCCCACCCCCAGCTGAGGTGGTGGTGTAGGTGCTCTCCCCTCAGCGGGAGGAAGGGAGTGCAGGGACAGAAGAGGCCTGGCCCGGAGGGGCCGCCTCGGTGGGGAGGGAAGGGCAGACGCCCCGGTGAGCAGGTAGCCCAGGTTGGGTTGGGGTACGAGGAGGAGGAAGTCCTTAGGACCTGGGGGCGCCGAGGAAGCCAGAAAGGCGAACTGGGGTCTGACCTGGAAAGCAGAAGAGTTCCCTTCTCTCTCCCCTACTGCTGCCGCCCTGAGAGGCCTCTCCCAGGTGGAGTAGATTGTCCTCCATCCAATCCAGCCAGCTCTCCATCACCTGGCACTTCATTAGAGGTGCTGACAGTGAGAAGCAGGGAAGCCCTTAATCCTTTCAACCATCTCTCCCTACTCGGGACCAAGTCCAGCTTTGGGGCTGCTAGAAGCAGCAGAGATGCTGGAAAAAAAATAGCCATGCTCAATGACCCTAGGCAGGCCGAGGGGTAGGTGGGAGGGGGCAGGGTGGCTCTGATGCAGTGGGACGTGCCTGGCGTCCTGGTCCTTTGGAACGAGAGTGAGAGCGGTGGCCTGGCAGGCACTGCAAGCTGCAGCGTGTGTCAGGGCCCTGGGGGTGAGTCAGCGTCAGGGGTCCAGCCAGACACACTGCGCCTAGGGAGTCCATCTCCAACCCAGCTCCTCTCATGCCCCTGGGGAATGGCCAGTGCCCATTGAACCCCGACTCCTGGGCCCCTTTCCCTCTGGGTGGCCGCCTCTGCTCTGCTTGGTTGCCAGGCAGATGCGTGGCTTCACCCTCTAGGACTCCCCTCAGAGGGCTGGCTTTTTCTGGGGACTTCTTGGGCATAATCCTTACCTTCTCCCCTCCTTGTCTTGCCAAAGGAGAAGCTAGGGAGCTTCGGGAAAGCTGAGGAGAGGGAGGCAGAGGAAAGTGTCTAGGTTATAGTCTCACAGAGACCTGGCCCGCCGTACCCTGGAGGAAGAAAGGCCAGACCACTCTGCCGTGAGTCCGTTTCGTTCTGCAGTCCCGGAGCTTGTGTCTGGACAGCTTGGGTTTTCTTTCTGGGAAAGGGGTGATTATGCAAGAACATTTCTTTTGCAGCTTTGGGGTCTGACATCTGCAGAACAGGACCAAGGAAAGCAAGAAGTGTTGGTGTTTGTGAACATTGACCTTTTGCCCAGAGAAACTTGCCACTGGCTTCAATTTAGGACTGAAGCTGGTTTCATCCTGGGCAAAGCATGTACCTTGCTGAAGACCTCACAGAGCCGGGGAGACCCTTTCTGGAGCTGGGTCTGGGCTGCCCTGCCCTCACACTGCAGCTAGAGCTCGTTCTTCCTCAGGCAGCTTCCAGGCAGGTGTGACAGGGCTGTCCCTGATACTGCAGAAACCTGGGGGTGGGTGGGCTTTGAAGGTGGCTGGAGAAGCCTCTTCCCTGCCCTCCCCAACCCCAGGGGACCAGGCCACCCCAGTGTTCCCCAGCCCCTAGGCGAGCCTGACCTCTACTCATTCTTTCTGCCTCCATCTGAACTTTGTCCTAGCTCAATGGGGTCTCCTTTTTCTTCCCAGTAGGGCCTGTGCAGCCCTCTCAGGGGAGGGTAGATAAAAGGGCAGTGAGGGCACTGGAAGCAGGGGGACAGGGCAATGAGGACAGAGTGGGAGGAGGCTGGGGTTCATTTGGCTGGAAGAATGGCCATCATTCCCTTCCCTAGACAGAAACGTCCTCACGGATAAATTAAGGCTGCAGATGAGTAGAAACACTACTTCACTTGGGATTCACTCTGTGGACTTTCCTGATCTAGGCAAGTTCTAGCTGGAGCCAGGCATCACTGAAGGTCCAGGGTGGTGGGGATACTCTTAAAGAACTGGAACGGCAAGCCAGAGGGAGCAGTAGGAGGCATTTCCTCAGTGTAGTGGTTAAATACGAGGCACCAAAGAACAGAGGCTGGGAGCTAGACAGGCCTGGGTTCAAATTCCAGGGCTGCTAAGTACAAAGTGTGAGACCTTATTTCCAACAAGTATTTTATTAGTGAGTACCTATCGTGTGCCACTGTTCTAGTCTGTGGGTGGGGAAGTGAGCACAGCGGTAGGTCCTACGAATGTTACTGAGCCACTCAGCATCCGCTCCACATTCATTCCGCTATTGCATTTTGAGAATCTGCTAGGCAATGGAGATTCAGGTGGCAACAAAATAGACCTGCTTCCTGCCCTCGTGGCGCTTACAATCTAGTGAATACCACACAATTACAAAAAGAATTCATTATGACTGACAAGAGTTACGAAGGTATGTAGGGTGTCTCAAGAGCACGACAGGATGACCTGACAATGTCTGCAGCGTTGTCTCTATAAAACAGAGGTAATAGTGCTTAACTCTCAGGGTAGCGTTGTAGAAGTGACAACTATTCGTGTTATTTTAGAAATGGTCCCCGGCCCATCGGACAGATGCAATTCTAAATTCCCTATGTGAATAATCCATCCATAGGCAACAAGTTGATTCTTCATCTTCCACTTGGTCAGAGAAGCCAGGCCAGAGAAGCTGGGATTCGGTTATGGGTTCTTCTGGGCTCCAGAAGCCTATGATGAATAATATAGTTTCGTTGGAGAAACATCAAGTCAGATTTTTTTCTAAGAGGCAGCATGGTGACTATAGCCAGATTGCCAGGGTTCATGCTGGTTCTGCCATTTGCTCTGATTCTGGGCAAGTTCATCGTACTCTGTTTCTCAGTCTTCCCATCTGTAAAATGGAGTTAAGATTCGTATCTATGACGTAGGTTGTTCTTGGTGAGGATGAAATGTGTTAATTACTGCAAAGGGTGTAGAACAGTGCCTGGCACAGGAGGAGTGCCACGTGAGTGCTTGCCATCCTTGCGTGGCCTGTGGCTCCTTTCCTGCCTACACACAGAATGATGTCTTGGGTTCTCCAGCTGGAAGGAGCATTGCCCACCTTTGATGTTCTTAAAACTCAAGTGAAGGAGCTGCCATCACTCCGCTGGTGGTCATTCCCACATGTCATCCCTCTAACTTAAAGGCACTTCTTCTTGATGACTAATGAGTTGTTTCTTGCCAAAGCTTGATTTCAGGGAAGGAATTTGTCCCAGCAATCCTTCATTCTCATCCCTGGAACTGACAGTTCAAGGAAGCAGCCAGAGCGATGGGTAAATTTGGACCCAGGCCTAGAGGGACCTGACAGTCACTGTGAGTCTGGAGAGCAGTGGAGCACTTAGTTGCCAGCCCCCTCCGCTAGAGAGGCTGGGTCTAAAATTAAACATCAAGAAGGAGGCCCCAGCCAGGTGGGGTGGCTCACGCCTGTAATCCCAGCACTGTGGGAGGCTGAGGTGGGAGGATCATTTGAGCTCAGGAATTCCAGACTAGCCTGGGCAACATATGGAGACCCTGTCTCTATAAAAAAATGTAAAAATTAGCTGGACATGGTGGCACACCAGGCTGAGCAGGAGGATCGTGTGAGCCCAGGAGGTTGAGGCTGCGGTGAGCTATGGTCACGACACTTCACTCCAGCCTGGAAGACAGTAAGACCTGGTCTCAAAAAAAAAAAAAAAAAAAAAAAAAAAAAAAAAAAAAAAAAAAACCCCAAAACCAGGAAA